TCAACTTCTTAGAAGCTATTGTCTGTTTTCAGCATTAAAATCTGTGAGGTTTTGGAGTCTGTGGGCTGATTTGAATGCTGTGTCCTCCATGTGGGGGCTGCAAAAAATTTGCTGCCATATGGGCATCACTCGACACAGCAGATGTAACCATCCATGTGAGGGCATCTTCACTGACGGTGGCTGATTCCAGAATCTTCCAGGGTTCCAAGCTGTTTTCCATATAGTTCACATGGAAATATTCTACAAGACACTTCACAATTAGATTGAACCATGTAGAAAGAAGAAATATGTACACTCTTTGTCAAGTGCTGTCATGGGCAGCGGGGTGATTTTTGGTGATTGCTACAAGGTGACTGAACATTGGAATTGGCCCTGAGAACATTTATTCTTGGAATATTCTCAACTCAGGCGGAGGCCTGACACCCAGCAAGGTCCATGATCCATCAGAGGGTCCATCACTTAATGGAATAACTAGACCAATCTTCTATTTCCAGGTCTACCTAACAGCAATTAAATCACTTTCTGTAGGAACACTCAAGTCACCGGGGAAATGGGACATCTGGAGCAATCTCCATTATAGTGTTGCAATGAGAGGGTGATGACAGCGGAGTGCAGTCCAGATTGTTCCATGGCTCCCAGTCCCATCACAGAATATGAGATCACCCATAAGACTTCCGGGCTATTGCCATTTCCTGGAAGGAAGTGGACCAGGTTGCCATGAGGCATATCTCATTAATCAGTAGCAGATGGCGGTCTGGAGTGGCAGGGCTCAACTGAGCTCTGGTCACCCACACCACTGCTGCATTCCAAGATAGGCTAGGGAAGCAGATGAGGTGGCAGTGAAGTTGGCATGGTGCAAACACATTGACGGGAACACCAGATTGACTGATGACCACCCAGACCACCTCACCTCTCTCTGTCCTGCAGCAATGCAGATGACCAGAGATCAAGAGAGCATTGTATCCTCCTCCTGCTATTTGTTACTGTCTCTCTTCCCCTGTTTAGTCCCTGTGGCACTGGAAGTGCTAACAGGACCAACAGGAGACTTGTAGTCCATTGTCACCAGGCACCTCAGGAAATGGAGGATTAATCCTAGAGCCTCTGGTGTAATCTCATACCCCCCAATATTTCTCTGATGAAAATAGGGACATCCTATATTCAGTGATGATGATGATGATGATGATGATACCCTGCCCATCTGACTGGGTTGCCCCAGCCATTCTGGGTGACTTCCAACGTTCCCTATACACTGCTGCTTTCACATGTTTTCTAAAGGTTGTATAGTTACTTATCTCCTTGGCTCGGGGGTTGCATGACTCTATACCCTCCAACATTTCTCTGATGAAAATAGGGGTGTCCTAAGGAAAAGCAGGGACGTGGGTGGCACTGTGGGTTAAACCACAGAGCCTAGGACTTGCCATCAGGTCGGCGGTTTGAATCCCTGTGATGGGGTGAGCTCCCGTTGCTCGGTCCCTGCTCCTGCCAACCTAGCGGTTTGAAAGCACGTCAAAGTGCAAGTAGATAAATAGGTACCGCTTCAGCGGGAAGATAAACGGCGTTTCCGCGCGCTGCTCTGGTTCGCCACATGACCCAGAAGCTGTACGCCGGCTCCCTCGGCCAATAAAGCGAGATGAGCGCCGCAACCCCAGAGTTGGTCACGACTGGACCTAATGGTCAGAGGTCCCTTTACCTTTACCTTTAAGGAAAAGCAGGACATTCCAGGATCAAAACAGAAACTTGGTTGGCTTCTGTAAATCTGGGACTGTCCCTGGAAAATAGGGACACTTGGAAGGTCTGTAACCTCCCATCTCCTGATGAGAGAGGTACTTGAAGGAATAGAATAGAACCGTCCATCACACATTTTAACCTGGTTGTGTGTTTCATTGCTACTCTGTCCCTGAGAGTTTAGGTAGCAGTGTATGGAGTGCCAGAGGCCTTAACTGGCCCCCCATCTAAACTGTCCCCCATTTTGATGCTTTTTTTATGGAGCGTGGGGTTGGGAGTCACAGACAACCATGTATCCAGGGCTCAGGAAAACCTGGAGATAGCCCTCATCATGAGGTATAGTATTCTTCTTGGGATATGCATCTCTTTGTGGTATATGTCTGTGGTGATACTTTGGACCAGAGTTGGGTGAAAATTTATATGTGGAAAATGTATTGTTAAAAATAGCTTCTCACTGAAAAACAAAAGTCTGGGTGATAAAATGTTAATTTCCATTTCAGTTTCTTTGATGTTTTCCAGGAGAGTCAACCAAAGGACACCGTTTGAACTATGTTCAAAAATCAGAAACAAAGTTTTTCTCTTTTCCTCTTGAAAAAATAATAATCACAAAACACTTTAGTAGTCATCTGACATCTGACAAACTATTTCCCTTTTACGCTGAAGTGGCAAAGTTTTCTATTCAGACATTTCTTTTTATAGGGCTTTTTTAAAACATAAAGGTAAAGGGACCCCTGACCATTAGGTCCAGTCACGGACGACTCTGCGGTTGCGGCGCTCATCTTGCTTTATTGGCCGAGGGAGCCGGCGTACAGCTTCCAGGTCATGTGGCCAGCATGACTAAGCCGCTTCTGGCAAACCAGAGCAGTGCACGGAAACGCCATTTACCTTCCCGCCGGAGCGGTACCTATTTATCTACTTGCACTTTGATGTGCTTTCAAACTGCTAGGTTGGCAGGAGCAGGAACCAAGCAACGGGAGCTCACTCCGTCGCGGGGATTCGAACCGCCAACCTTCTGATTGGCAAGCCCTAGGCTCAGTCGTTTAACCCACAGTGCCACCCGTTTTAAAACATGGTCCTGCTTTATTTTTTGTTTCAGTCTTAAAACATTGAAATTTCCACAGGGAAAACTTGCTATCCAAAATACTCCAGTATTATGCTGTCTTTTGGTGAGGATAATTTATGGTTCAGGGCAAACCAACAGTTGTACTAAATAAATAATAGTTCACATTTCTTCTCATCTTTGCTGTACTATTTCTGTCAGCTCCGTATGGGTCTCACTTTGTAATAAACATAAAGCGCATCTGCAATATATGATCTTTCACTGGTGTGTTTTGCAAGACATTTACTTGTCAATACAAGTCAAACATCTCCAAATGTTTTATTATTAACTGTCTGGTAGGGCAAGGGAAGAGGAGAAAGTCAACCTGCTTTAAGGTATTCACCTGCATAATTGCAAAATTACATTAATTATGGTTTCCATTCTCAGCGGATGGCAGCAGCTGAAACTGCATGGGCTTTGAGATGTACAAAATGCCTGCTCATATTTTTAAAAGTACCCATTCTCTGCCCACCTGCACATACTGCAGAAATGTGCTTTTATTTGCTGGCACCCAAATTAGAATTTTAAAATGGCATTAAAAAGAAAGGGGGAAAAACCCAAGCATTTGTAACTGGAATCAATCTGGATGGTTTATGTGAGACCTGTCAGAAAGGCTTATTCCCTTCCTACAATGTTGCTATGAAGGACTGTAATACACATATCTTCTAGCACCTCAGAAGACATCTACCCACGTATTTTCAGAGCCTAGATTGTGAGCTGCTATGTTGAATTCTTTTGTGAAGCCAACACTTCTGAGACCCATATGTTTCACTTCTAGTGCCTTCATCCACCAGAGCTCCTAAATTCTGGCTTCTGTGAGGCCTGGGGTAGGTGCAATAGAAGGTCTTTGATAACTGCTTGAGTTGTTACATTCACTAGGCCACCTCTAATTGCCATGACAGTTTCCCATGGAGAACCAGTGGGATATAGTTAAATCTGGATATGAACTCTATAGGATGGGCAGAGAAGGAGGTTTCACAGGATTAAATGACTGGCATGACTTTGAATATTGAGGAATGGATGTGGTGGAAAAAGTCTTGCATTGAGTTCCATATGCCATGAAACGTTTTACATGCAATGCAGAGACAAATTCACTCCATATTTCGCAAGCAACCTAAACTCATAGCAACAGTGGTGCTTGCAACACATTTCCTTGCGTCATCTGTGGGTAGAGAAGCAGTGCACATCATAATGAATCCCTAGACCTTGCTACAAATCAATGGATTTAATAAACCCACGAAGCAAAGACTTTGGATGAGGTGTTTCTTCATTTCCAGATCAATAATGCAAGGAAACTGATGGCTTCATTTACGGATGCCATAATGAATGGCATAATAAAAAAAAATGTTGCAAATGTTTACAAAGTTCAGACTCTTTACTGATCATCATAAGCTAGAGGAAAACTCAGCCAAAAGACAAAATTATTATCACTATTTTATACTTGGTGATTATGCTAGTCGCGAGAGAAGCATATTTGATGTTCAAGGGACTGCTATTTAAAATTCTAATTTCCAAACACTGAGCTCTGAACAAAATCACATTGTATATGTAGAAGTTACCAGTAAGATGAGTAGCCATTTCCATGTAAAAACCACTTGTTTCCATTTTCTCCACTTGTTCACAATGTTTTTTAAACACTCATAGGTTTCTTTCACTGTGCAGGCAAGCAGTGGGAAAATACAATTAGAGGCAGACATATGACTATATATATAGATATATATAGGGGGAGGGGTTTGCCAAAAATCGCTCACCCGCATGCAGTGCAAAATCCGCCTCTCGTCTGTACCCTCACTGGCAGAAGCTGCCAATCGGACTCCCAATTGCCGCAGCGTCAGCCAATCAACACCAGCCCTTGACACAGCAACCACTAACACGCCCAAAAGCTGCTGACAACCACAGCAGCAACCAATCAAAAGTCCACCCTATGTACTATCCAGGTATAAGACAGCCCCCACTTTAAAAAATAAATTTAAAAGAAAAAAAATACTAGTCTTATGCACGGAAAAGTACGGTACTCTTGATTCTCTTTACTAGACAGGAAGAGGAGGGTCTTCAAGTGGGGTTTTTTTTACACCTATTCCCTGGTCATGGCCATACAATCATAGAATTTTAGAGCTGGAATGTACCTGAGGACAATCGAGTCCAACCCTCCGCTAGCAGCAGTCCTGCCCGCAGCCGCCCCTGGGTGGGCTTGAACCATCACCCTTCAGACTCCCAGACAGATGCACTAACCCATCGTGCCACCTTCAAAATGGTCAGATTTGAGATTTAGACTCGCAGTGAGTGACTGTTTCTCTCTGCGAGGGTGGGAAGCCAATATGGATGGCTTGCCTGGGAGGCTAATAGACTTTGATGGATTTCAGAGAGCTTTGAAAAGGGGAGGGATTTTCTGGCCCTTCTGGGTGGTGCTCCTGCTGTGACATGCTTGCAGCAGTTGGTTTTATTGCTCCCGAGCATCCTCTGCAGTTGTGCAGAGCCTGGTCAGCAACTTGGTATGTGCTGGAGCTAGAGAGGGAGGAGAGAACTCATTTTGTTTGCATTTTAATGAGAAGCTACCTAATGCACACTTCTAAAACCAATATGCGAATCGAAAGCCAGCTATCCTTTGAAATGAACGCTTGACTGAATTTTGTGATGCAGTTCCCCAGCCGAACAGTCTTTACAAAAATGCATATATTCAGGAAAAGCGTACATGCAGATGGAAAAAAATAAATAGTGAAAGTTACTCACAAAAATGCATTGTATTACAGGACAATTGCTTGGAAAATGTGTACATAGGTTAAAACTGCATATGAAATGTGTTTATTGGGAGACAAGCAAATGCTGATGAATTGTCATGAGTATTTTAAAGGAAAAAAATTAGCCAATTATTACAGAAACTGAATTTAAGATTGGGGGGGAAATGAGTGCGTAGTCTCAACTGGTAATAGCATGCATACTTTTTAACTGGGGGAACTGACTTTCATCCCCAGTACCAACTACTTCCAATTAAGAATTAAAAGTATTCAAATTGCATTTTTTGTTTTAGCAAAGTTTAAATGTTTTTTTGCAAAGAAGAAAAATCTATAAACCATGCTCCACTGGTATACATAAAGAAACAGAAGCTGCTGTTGCATAACTAAGACTGATGCAAAATTTTGAACAAAGCTTAATTTTCTCCAAACTCAAACTCTGAAGGTTTGAATGTTTAGCATTTGTGACTTTCACTGCTGAAATTCAGCTTTCAATTATTTTTCTTTAAAATATCAAGTTAAATACAGTATCATCATCTTCCGTGCTATTACACTTTCCCCTTTCCCTGCCCCAGATTCAATCCAACAGCATCCATAACTGGGAATGTCAAAAATAAATTTGAATTAGGAGACCAGGGATAATTTGACTGGGAGCATATCCATCCCAGGAAATATTGTAAATTAAGGATCTCCATAACTTCCAGATAGGTTATATTATCTCTTTAGGTAAAGGTAAAGGGAGCCCTGACTGTTAGGTCCAGTCGCAGACGACTCTGAGGTTTCGGTGCTCATCTCGCTTTATTGGCCAAGGGAGCTGGTGTACAGCTTCCGGGTCATGTGGCCAGCATGACTAAGCCGCTTCTGGCGAACCAGAGCAGCGCACGGAAATGGCGTTTACCTTCCTGCCGGAGCGGTACCTATTTATCAGGTGGGCAGGAGCTGGGACCGAGCAACGGGAGCTCACCCTGTCGTGGGGATTCGAACCATTAACCTTCTGATCAGCAAGCCCTAGGCTCTGTGGTTTAACCCACAGCGCCACCCGCGTCTAATCTAAATCTTTAGTCCCGATTAATTGCACAATATATCAGGCACAACTGGCCTCCTCAGTTTTATATTTATATCTCCTCCTTGTCACGCAACACCCTCTGTATTCCTTGTCAGACCACAAAAACACAAGGAGGCTGTGCTTCTCAGTTTCAAGCTTAGAAATGCCTATGGAATGAAGAAGTGAAGCTTGTGAGTAACCCAACTCCTTGGAAGACTCATGAAGCACATGCCAAAAAGACCTATTTCAAGGTTACTGGAAGGAACCCAGACCAGCTTATTTATAAGTGACCTATGCTTGGAGATCCATCGGACTGACTTGAGTGTCCATATCTGACTTCTTCTGTGGAAGGTGCAGAGTTCCTGGTGGGAAAAACACTCTCTCGCAAAAGCGTCTTTCTCTCTTCCCCACACCTCTCTCTTATCTCTCACATACTCCATTCAACTAAAACAGAAACAGCAGGGTTGTTTTTATTTTTTATTTTTTAAGAAACCTGAAGTTTAGGACAGGAACTAATTTTCCTTACCTCCAGGGAGGGTTGTCAAACACATTTCCATTTACGGTGTGTGGGTTGCGCTGGGGACAACTCAGTCAGCTGAAACAGCTGTTGCGTTTGGGTCACTGGGATTGAAACTTCTGAAGCAGTGCTTCCATTCATTGCCATTAAAGCAGTTTGAAAGTGCCACCAGCATCATCCTGTTATGGTCCATGCCATTAAGCACGAATGGATGTGGCATATAGCCTTTGTCTGGCTCTGAGAACTGCTCACGAGACTACCCCACCAAAATAGATAAAAACTGCTTGGGAGGAACTGCAAGGCACAGATGCAATGAATACAAATAATTCCAGGAGGAAACAGGACATGATAATGTGACTTCTCATTACAGATAAATTTCTGTGGTCTTTACTGAAACCCCTTTTGCTTCCTGCAAAATTCCATAGATGTTCCACCAAGGAGGAAACACCAAATACCTCCAAGTCTTTCTTGGAGACAATACATTCCCCAGTCACTTCTAGACAGCATTACTGCACTGCTTGTTATGAATATCTGTCTTTCAAACTAGGCAGGAGCCTTCAAGTGTTCCAGAACGTGGTCCAGAAGATCTACATCAGGATTTGTTGCCCTCTGAGGTGATTGCTTCACCTTGCCTCATGGGTGGGCCAGCTCTTCAAGGTGTCCCTATTTTCCAGAAGCCGTCCCTGTTTCTGATTTGATCCTGGAATGTCCTGCTTTTCCTTAGGACCTCCCTATTTTTATCAAAGAAATGTTGGAGGGTATCGAATTATCCGATCCCTGAGCCATCTGAAGGCAGCCCTGTATAGGGAAGTTGTTTGTTTGTTTTTTAAAAAGTTTAATGTTTTATTATGTTTTTATATATGTTGGAAGCCACCCAGAGTGGCTGGGATAACCCTGTCAGATGGGTGGGGTATAAATAGTTTAATTATAATAATAATAGGATGTCCTTATTTTCATCAGAGAAATGTTGGAGGGTATGTCTCTCTGTCTCTCTCTCTCTCTCTCTCTCTCACACACACACACACATACAGACACGTTTTGCAAATCAAAAGACAAAAAAAGGGATATAATCTCCGCTAGAACACTGTAACATGCTGCCATCTTGTGGGGAAATGAATATTTACTAATGTATTTCTTTTGCTGCACCTTGCTTTTTGTAGAAGTCTCATTAGAAAAATTGTAATGATTTACATCTGCCCACCCCCCACCCCCCAGCAGCTTTGGACGTACAATAATGGAAGAAGCAGTTGAAAAATTAGCAAAGCACTGAAAGGGTGTGTTGTGTCATACCTGAGGCTGGAAACAGCTTTGGCACCAACTTTAGCAAATTGGATGGACTCTCATTCACACTCCAAATGAATCTCCCTTTCTCTTAGGGCTCGGAGTTACATACAAAATGCCTAAAGACCTCTATGAGTTTTCAAAGCAGATGTTGCACAATGGCTGAAGAGTGAATTCAAAAGCTGCCTCCATTCTGATCTCACAAGATATCCTCAGACAAATTAGGTCTGCCGATAGAGCAGTCTTCCTGATGTATTTGCACAAAGTTTTCAGGGAAGTTATAGGAGTCCCGCTGTTCATCTGAGAATGCATTCTTATTTGTTTGTGGGATTATATGATAACATGTGTAGCACTTGTTATCTATACGGTCAGTGGTACCTCTGGTTAAGAACTTAATTCATTCCGGAAGTCCGTTCTTAACCTGAAAACATTCTTACCCTGAGGTACCACTTTAGCTAATGGGGCCTCCCGCTGCCGCACGATTTCTGTTCTCATCCTGAAGCAAAGTTCTTAACCCAAGGTACTACTTCCGGGTTAGCGGAGTCTGTAACATGAAGTGTTTGTAACCTGAGGTGTTTGTTACCCGAGGTACCACTGTACTTCCTAGTTCATTTTCAAATCATTCCTCCTTTTATTTAATTTTTTGGAAGTAGGCTTGTTGCTCCAGACTTACATTAATTTTGCAAACCCACATTAATTTGCCAGTACAGTGGTACCTCAGGTTAAGAACTTAATGCGTTCTGGAGGTCCGTTCTTAACCTGAAACTGTTCTTAACCTGAGGTACCACTTTAGCTAATGGGGCCTCCCGCTGCTGCGTTGCTGCGGCAGCGCAATTTCTGTTCTCATCCTGAAGCAAAGTTCTTAACCCCAGGTACTATATCTGGGATAGCGGAGTCTGTAACCTGAAGCGTCGGTAACCTAAAGCATCTGTAACCTGAGGTACCACTGTATGTGACCATAGTCACAGTCGAGATGACATTTCGAGATGACCTTGATGACATTTGGCTACCTTTACAGGGTTGTTGTGAGTCAGAGGTGAGCAGCCTCAGGCTCAGGGCCAGATATGGCCCTCCATGCCTCCATGTGGCCCTTGAGACTTTCATCAAAGACATACTGTCTCCTCAGGCCACACTCCTTCCCCAGTGTGTAGAAAACAGCCTACTGTACAAAGGAAACATTTTTACTTTTGTCTCTGGCTCCACTCCACTGGCATGTGACCCTCATGAGTCCACAATAAAACATTAAACGTGGAAAAACAAAAACAAAACTTCCCTATACACCTTCAGATGGCTCAGGGGTCGGATAACTCCATACCCTCCAACATTTCTCCAGTGTAAAAAGGGGCATCCTAAGGGAAAGCAGGACTTTTCGTGATCAAATCAGAAACCGGGACAACTTCTCTAAATCAGGGGTGTCCCTGGAAAATAGGGACACTTGGAAGGTGTGTCCTACTTTAAGAAATACCAATTCGACCTGACTAATATATGGGAATAGCAGCCAATTGTTTTTATTATTAGTTTTGGCAACGTTTTTGCACAATCTGGAAGAGAGTGACAGAAGGAAAGAGTGGCAAAGGAATTAAAACAACAACAACCAAAAACCTGAGAATGGGCAGACCAATGGTTGTTGTTGTTTTTTTAATTCCTTTGCCCCTCTTTCCTTTTTTCAC